AAAAAGAACCCATGTACCGTTGTGCAATATCATGTTTGCGAACGACCAGTTTCCACGGGTGTTACTCAAAGGAATCGAAACAGTTGAATCATGGAAATTCTTTCAATCTCCGATTTCAGTGAATCAATTGCCAGTCATGATTTTCCCTACGTGACGATGATGCCTCTATACATAGAGTACACACGTCATTAGAATGTATAGTTTCTGCACCGGAGCATAAGGAGTATGGAGTGACCAGAGTACGAATCACTAAAAATGTCTGAGGTCTATCCGTGAGGCGGGTTCACATGCATGGAACGGTATTTTTTAATTACACACCTCAGTGTGATGAACAACAGACGGGGAAAGCTCCATAGTTGCGAACACCGGCTGTTCAGTGATGGAAACCGGTGACCTTAAACCGCGAGACTTGGAGTGACATACCACATAAGGTCGGATGACAGCAAACCTGGCTGCCATTAAGGTTGGGTGGCGGGGCTCGGACCATAGAGTTAAAGCATGCCGATGACAACCACTAAACCACACTGTGCATTAAATAAAGACACTTATTCTTCAATACAAGGAAGGAAGAGTTTCGAAGTTCAAGCAATGCGGTATACCCGGGTGTTGTGTTTCAGTTAGAATAATCAAGGCTGTTGTGTTTTGTAATCACTTGGTTATATCATCATTTTCCTCGGATTGGGATAACAGCGTTTTGCAACTTCATGGGACCATTTTCTAGGATGAATCAGTTTAGCAAAATAAATCAAAATCTGTTTGTTCCTCTATCCGCCAATTAGTTCTATTATCAACTGAATAATAAATCTGATTGCGGAAAAAAGACGTGAGATGCATACAGTATTTCGTCGGTACACTTATCGAAGACTAACAATCCTTCAAAACGGCCTCAGGGGTCGAATGATGATAAATAGTGATAAAACGAACTCCAGTATATCTGCTTACAAATCTCAGGTCCCAATCCAGATGATAGAAACTAGGAAAATCAACTTAATGACCGCATATCGGAAAGGTAGGTGATTCATCTTGTGGTGACTAAATGAAGAAATGGTGCGACAACGGAACCAGTGTGTTCGGTAACATGGGAAACCACAGTGGAAAACGTGGACGACAGTCCTTGGAAGGAGATTGTAATTTGATTGTGACACTCCGATGAGGGAGAGAGAGAGAGCGCACGTAACCTTAANCTCCGTCATCAGTCCCCCAAACTAACGCGCCTGCAAAATCGGTTGAGTCACCATCTATTTTGGGACGAAGTAGAACAACTTTTGACCAATCAGCCTAGCAGTTCATTTTACAGTTGGCCACAAAGGATTCGACCGATTCAAGGTCAAATTTGGGGCAACAATGTGTGTGTGGTCTGACTGCTTGCGAACCGAGGAAAGCACGCGTGATGGCGATAAACCGGGGGAACAACATACTAGTCACTATGACCAATGAGCTTAGGCTAAACAATCATAATCCATGGAACAACAAGAAGTGTGTGCGGAAGGAATCAACACAGGAACGCTAATAGCAAAAGAAGAGTGTGAAATCACTCTTTATCGCCTTTATCGTGATTGATAAAATACGTTTACCCATTTCATCCGGTTAGGAAACTCTCTGTCTCCTCATGGTCGCCTCGTGTTTCGGTCGAAATAAGCGTATGAGAAATTCAGGATTGGTGCTAGAATCATTGGTAGTTCCGATTGAGCAACTACAAACTCATTAAAAACAGAAAACGGAATGGCTGAACCAAATTAATTGGACAGGTTCGAACTCTCCGCATGAAATTAGACTATGATTCTGATTGGGACATTAGCATGCAGTCGCTCTATTCTCGTAAACCCTTGTTCAATATTTGGCGTACGAGATGTATCCTTCCATTTATAGGCTGGCATACGGCATTGGAAACCCGACAGCTGTTTCGACATACGATGCCATGACATGACAGTCATGGGGTGAAACAAACAAACCGCGATAGGCAGGGGAGCCTGGATGACGGTATGGCAGAAACAGGTGACATGTGCATCCTTTCCGGATAACTGATAATACTAATATCCGGATTCCGTAGTACGCAGTGCTAACAATTAGTAATCGGAATCAAGGTATTTTAGTGCAAGATGAATAACCTAGTGATAATTTAACTGGTCTATTATTCTACGATAAAGTAGCAGTTTAAAAAGTCGCATGGCGCATAGTATCCATGCAGTTCTGTATGCATACATTATTCATTATTCCTGTACTGTCTAACTGACTCTCAGCTACCGTGTTCGTATGGTCTTTGACTTTTTCATTTTTACTTCCTTTTATAGAATGCGCAATGATAAAATTTTCAGGAAGGGGGAAGCGGCCAATCAAACGAGACTGCCATACAACATACGAATGGAGAGTCAGGCGGTGATGGTGGGATTCGAACACTTGTCCTACGGAATGATAATTTGGTGACGTTACCACCGGGCCACCACCGCCTGTTAGTTGCTCAATCAAAACACGGAAGATTGGGAGAAAAAAGAAGATTGGCAGACTAGGGGCCGAGAAAGAACAACGATAGAGGTATGAGTTTTCATAAATACATAGACTAAAAAAAACCAGGAAGTGAATCATTGAAACTGGACTTCAGATGTTGGTCGAAAACTTGATTCATGGTGAAACTTAAAACCACATTCTAACGAACTGATACCTCCAAAACTTATTAACTCGCGTGAACATGAACGAACTACAGTCAATCTCCTGCTATATCGCAACCCTGAGAAATCACATTTTTCAATATCTCCCTACTCTTTGGATAACCCAAACCAACCACATGCGTCGTAACGTAGTTTCTGACTATGCAATGCGACCCCCCCCCCCCCCCCCCCCCCANTTAACCAGCCAACCTGGACTGTCGCACTCAATCAATGACGTTTCCTCTAGTGTGACGCATTCAGGACACTGATTGGATAACCTTTGCGAGGAAGACACACCGATGCCAACAATCGAAGACAGTGTCACTTGACTTGTGTTGGAAACGCTAAAGCAGCCAGTTGTAACTCAGAGCTCCGTAACAAGATCACATGTAACATATGTAATCAAACGACTATCAGAGAATTTGTGAGGGCTGGAGTATCTCAGGAAAGATGCTACCGGAACGAAAACAGTTGTTTGTTATGGTTGACACCATATACTCAATTCTGCAGTTAGCCTAACGTTGCAAAGCAGTCGAGAAACGTCTGGAATTGATACGCGATAACAGGGTTGGAAAACTTCCCTTGAAGAAAGATAGGGACTTTCGGGATAACAAGACAGTTGGAACTGAAAAAAGGTTGAATACCGGATGCAGTGTACCGATATTAAGCTAAAGGAATTGTGAAATATTTCAATTTATTCGACACAGGACGCAGGACGGTAGATCTAAATTCGGTTATAAACAAACAACAAACTGTCGGTCGATTTTTCATACTACTCAATCGAATCTACTACAGACTAACGTGCTTCATCACAGTTGCTGGAATTTACCCACTTTTTTGAATTCCCGACGGCTGTGATATCCAGTCAATTTCCTGTTATGTCGCCTCCATCGGAAATTGGAAAAGGTGGGTAAATTCCAGGAAATGCGATATAGTAGGGTAAACAGTAGTAGAGGCTAATAAGTAGTATAATAATCCGTTGACAGTTTTGCGACAAAATAAACCGGATCGATGAAAAGCAAGTTGATTCCGTTAGTTGTTCCCAATCTTTATAATTATAAACTGTTTATTTATAACACAATTTAGATATACGATCCTGTGATTCTATTATGTATCGACGGAATTTGAATCTTCTATGACGCCCTCAGTTTTTAATATCCGGGAACAGTGCATGCGGTATTCAGCATTTTTTACGTTCTGTATCTTAGTTATCTCGGAACTAACTTTCTTCAGGTCAACTTTTTCTAACCTAATTATCCCATATTAATTCCAGACAATCCTTCACTGCACTGCAAAGCCGGGGTAACGACAGAATGGATTATATGACGTCTATCATAATATACAACAGTTTTAGCTACAATTATCACACATCTTCCATGCAGTTATAACTCTTCAGAGAACGCATGGATGACTTCTAGGTTAGTTCACAGTTGGCTGTCCGATGTCAACCGCGAAGCGGTTTCTCAAAGGCGCTCTATTTTACTATTTATGAAAAGCGCCACTTGCCATAACCGAGCCACAGTGTGCTCCAACGTCAAAGTGATACAGCTGCCTCCGAACTGTTCTTCAGTGTTACAACCGGTGGATCAGGGCGTGATTTGGTTTCTCAATGTCTTTCATGAAAGCTGGGTTCAAATCCACATTGATTCAGCCGGTGATGCAGCCACCAGAGGATAAATGCGACTTGATAGAAGACTTTACTCATTACGTGTCTATTGATGACCGTCTTTTTGAAGAAGATATCACCTGTTTGAAATTTGATGATGAAGAAGTGGATTAGTTAAAATTTTTGTTTCAAGTATCTTTTTCAGTCAGTGGATGAATTCGTTTCGAATCAAGCTAAACATCGCAAAGAAGATGAATGTGAAGCAGTGAATGCATCGGAACTTATCTCAATCGGAGAGGCGTAGAAGATATTGGATCAATTGAAGCTGTTTGCCTTGACTAATGCTTGGAGTTTGGGTCGATTATTGGAGTGTATAATTGATTTAAACAGCGCGTTCGTCGATTTCCAGAGGAGAGCCAAACTAAAACAAACGACGAATCTTTTCCAATCAAGCCAAAGTTGCCTCATTCACTGCCTTGAACTTTTCGCTGGTTTTCAGGAGACACCTTCCCTCAGATGCTCTAGCGTTTAAACATTCCTCGATAGTCGTTCGATGGGATACAANAACTAAAAGTGCATCTCACAAACTGTCCTTAGACCCAGGTTGCGATGGCCTTTGGCAAGTGAGCTGTCTAATTTCATTAGTGCTCTAGGACAAGTGAGAGTATCGTTCATTCATTCACGCAGGCGCGTCCGCGTGACGGTGTTTATCGGTCGCTCGGATCTGACATCTCACTCCACTCACCCGCTTATCGTTCACCCAGTAACTGACCCGAACTCCGAGCATTAGCCAAGGCAAACAGCTTCAATTGATCCAATAACTTCTGCGCCTCTCTGATTGAGATAACTTCCGGCGCATTCATTGCCTCATATTCATCTTCTTTACGATGCTTAGCTTGATTTGAAGCGAATTCATCTAATGACTAAAAAGAGACGATACAAAATTTTAAATAACCCACTTCTTCATCATCAAATTCCAAACAGGTGATTTCTTCAAAAAGACGATCATCAATAGACACATAATGAGTAAAATCCTCCATCAAATCGCATTTATCCTCTGGTGGCTGCATCACCGGCTGAATCAATGTGGATTTGAACCCAGCTTTCATGAAAGACATTGAGAGACCAAATCGCACCCTGATCCATTGGTGGTAACATTGAAGTACAGTTCGGAGCAGCCATAGCAATTTGACGTTGAAGAATACTGCGGCTTGGTTATGTCAAGGGAATTGTTCATAAACAGTAAAACAGAGCGCCTTTGAGAAACCGCTTCGCGATTAACATCGGACAGCCAACTGTGAAATAACGTAGAAGCCATCCATGCATTCTTTGAAGAATTATAACTGCATGGAAGGCTTTTCTATCTATCACGTGGGACTGTTAAACTTTCCCCATAGACCTATAAAGTAATACACACCAGTTGCTTGTTTCTTACTCTGTACGATTGAATAGCATACTTATGTGACCAAGCGCGAAAACAACCTATGGAAGCCTTGAAGTCATTATGATGCAATATTTGTGCTAACTGGATTGCCTTCTTATGTACGATGCTCTCCACCATTGGGAACTCTCCGTGTTTTTCCCCCCAAGTAGTCAATCAAGCCAAAGTTGCCTCATTCACTGCCTTGAACTTTTCGCTGGTTTTCAGGAGAAACCTTCCCTCAGATGCTCTAGCGTTTAAACATTCCTCGATAGTCGTTCGATGGGATACAACACTGTAGACAGTTTTTCGTGAACTTCCAAGTGATACCCATGGAGCTCCGAGGTGCACCTGGTTGGTTCAGCATTTCCAACACATTCTGATTCTCTCTGATCGATAGGCGCTTGCACATTTTGACGTTAAATGACACTGTCTCCGATCAGTTGCATCGGTGTGGCTACCTCGCAAGTATTATACAATCAGTGAACAGTGCTGTGAACGCGTCACATCAGGTGCAACACCATTGGTTGAGTGCGACAATCCAGGTTGGCCGTCCCTAATATCGGCCAATTCCCAGATGAGCAGGTATCAGGAACTGCGACACATTAAGGGGTGCGACGTCGTACAATCAGAAGCTACATTATTAAGCATACGGTTGGTTTGGGTTTTCGAAAAAGTAGGAAGATATTGGAAAATTCGACTTCTCAGGGGTGCGACATAGCAGGATAACGGAATTAACGCACTTGCTATCCATGCGGTTTATTTGGCCATAAAAATCCTGACAGATTTTTCGGAGTATTTAATAGCATCTACTACTGACTAACATGGTATGTCGCAGTTCCTGAAGTTTATTCACTTTTTCGAGCTCGCGAGGAGTGCGACATAGCAGGAGATGGACTGTACTTTGAACAGGCAATTCCCACGTTCTGAGAGTTCCCCGGACGGACTGTTTTACGGTAAATTGAACCACATCTAACAGGTTGGTCTCAGTCAGTTCAACCACAACGATCGCAGACCAGCCCGACACACACGCGCACACACACACACATCCGAAGGCTGAGCAAAAACGTTTGGCATGCGTTGTACACGAGTATGAGGTGCAGATGACCGGAAGCAAGGAAAACGTGAACTGTAATGCGATGTGAGTATTCTTCGGTGATTACAAATCACACACTGAATCAGATATCACCACAGCCAATAGCACCGCTCACACGTCAAACGAGTTCGCTATATTCGCTCGGATTGTAAGGATGGAACTCAGTTCATATCACTGGGGGAGATGATCTTCTAAGACTACAAATGTGGTTTAAAGTAGTAGCAGTGGAGTGTTGATCATTTTCAAGCTGCCTTTGGTGATGAAACGCCTTCACAAGAAGCACTGGGTTCCCAAATGTCAAGTGCATGTTGCGTGGAATCCGATACCAGTCACCCACAGCTGCAATGGAGGCCTCTATAGCCATGATCGAAAGGTGGTTACCCGCTTCGATATGGACGAGCTGTTTCGTCACATGGAACCGTGTGTGTGTGTGCATGAACGCTGATGAATGCTTCGAGAAAATGGAATGCTCATTTTTGTGCAGAAAAATAAAATTCTCTGTGCTCAGCCCATATACAGAACAATCTAATTGCAGAGGTGCTATAATCTCGTAGTGTGAGACGCGGTGCATCGCTCTCCCTAAAATCCTTCCCGATCTTCGTTACTTTCAATTAAACACTGCACAAGATAGTAGATGAAAGACTTGAAACAATAGTTTTCAATTACACACCCACGTGTGATGAACAGTAGACGGGACGAGCCCCGTAGTCACGAGGATCTGCTGTTCAGTGGTGGAAACTCGTGACCTAAACCTCGGGACTTGGAGTAGCGAACCATACAAGGTCCTGGTAAGTTAGGTGTGTTATTAAACCGGACGACATTAAGGCTGCTTACCACCAAAGTCGGGTGACGGTGGTGGAGCTCGAACCTCGGACCATAGGGTCCAAAGCACAGCCGGTGACATCGACTAAACCATTGCGCCACCATCACCCAGGACTGAACCTTACCGTGAAAGCTTACTTTTTCATATCATGGGAAGTGATAATTTAAAGAACTATTAACGAAAACTGAAAGGTAAACAAACCCGGGGGAACAGTGAGGATGCGTGCAACCGTCAAATTTGGCTGGTCTGCGACTTCAAAAGCCAAAACCACTGATAGCAGCTGATCAAACAACAAATCACAATGCCGCACACACACACACACACACACACTCGGGTGCATGCATGGTGTGAGGTTAAACACGTCGTACACGAGTCACACAATCAGGAATGCATGACCGATGGACCGATGGATAACTTCGGTACAGACCCAATCCGATTGGTTGGAAGGGTTAACCGTGTTGGTCAAACCGGATTAGCCGAACACCGAACGCACATACACACACAGACAACTTATATAGATATTCTACCTAAAAGGATCACAATGAGAAGTACCTAGCGAAGTGTCAATTTAAATTAAGA